AATTAATGGCAACGCTGTACGGAACGATATTTATGTCTTTGTCAGTTTCGCGTAAAATCCGTCTCATTAATGCAGTGCTCAGTAATGTACTTGCAACCACGAGCGTATCATCGGGTTTTGAATTATACAGCGTGAATTGTAAGTTTTACATATAAATCAGTAAGTAATCGACGTGTTGTGATAAGAATGGGTGAAAATAATAGTGCTAATAAGTGTTTAAACCATAAATAACTATATATCTACACCGTTATAAAACTATTAAAAAAATGAGAGACATGCAGGGCCTTCAACGTCGAAAAAGGTGAAACGGTCGAAGTCTCGGTCGCTAAGTGAAAAGTAAATTGTACTTCGAGTATTTCACTGTCTTGAAAGAGATCATCAGCGACCAAAAGATGACTTAGTGCATATGTGCTGTAATTCTACGGGTGTACCTCCGATTAACCAACCGGGCGTTTCAACATCATTAACTTCCACAATTGCAAAAGATAAATTAGTTGATATGTACTCTGATTATACGGGTATACCAAAATCATCGATTTACAAAATACTAAGAGAAAACAAAATTTATGGGGAGTACAAACGCCAAAAACTAGTAGCGGACGAAAAAAAAAATCACAGTTGAAGAAGCAGCCAAAAACAATATACGCAGAACTATTCACAGTTCCTTTTTCAGAAATGAGCTGCCCACTTTGCAAACAGTTCTGGAGGCAGTTAGCGATCATGAATTAGTCTCACAAATGGGTAAAGAAAATTTTACACGAAATAAAATTTACGTACGGAAAGTCGACAGGAAAAGCATTCTCATTGAATGTCAATAAATAATAGTATGGAGAAGAAACTATCTCAGAAAAATTGACGAATTTCGGAAGCTCAAAAAAAATTTACTGCATGGATGAAACGTGGGTTAACCAAGGACATACGGTCAAAAAAGTATGGCAGGATGGTCATATAACCTATTGATTTATTTTGTAGTAAAATATCAATCTTATCTTTAGTAAAATTCATACCTGTTTATTTGTATCTAAGGGCCGATTCCACCGCTGTGTTAAACGGAGATTAAAATGACATTGTCAATGTAAAAATGTCATTTTAAACTTCGTTTAACACAACGGTGGAATCGGTCCTTAGCTATATAAATATAGAGTTGGGATTTAGTTTCATGTTAACAGTTATAAATATTATTTTGTTTCATATTTTTCTTATATTAAGGAAGTAAGCTTTCAATTATGTATTTTAATAATTTTCTTTTTTCCAATTGTAGGAAATCTAGGGGTTAGTGCTTAGTGTAGTAAAACATAATTCTATATTCTGTAATCTATTTTTGGATGGTCCCTTAACCCGAGATGATTTCTGGGAAACCACAACATCGTAAACCGGGCGGTCGACAGGAAAGGGCCGTTCAATCATATTCAAAGGTTCAATGAGTGGGTCAACTATTTGGAGGAATGCAGTCGATTTCTTTGTTAAGACTGTGTTATTCCATTTGTTATAATAATTATTATTTTTGTAACGTTATTTTAATATTAATAATCTTCATACGTAAAATAAACATTTAATTATTTGTGTAGTTTACAATTCGATATTTTATTATTCGAAGTAAGGATAAAACATGAGTTGAAATGTTTGTTTATAGCTGTATATATTCCACCTGACGCATCACTAAATGATTACAACTCTTGTTTTATTATACTACAAAATCATATAAAAATACCGATAAAGTTTATATATTTGCCGATTTTAATTTATCAGAATTTAAAGGTACAGTGATTTAAGCATTGTAAGTTTAAAAGGAAATTGTTTATTGGATATTTTGAGTTTTAATTCGTTTATGCTTTTTAATAATGCAAAAAACTATTTGGGTAAAACATTGGATTCGGTCATAGGAGATAAAACAAATATAGATAATTGCATGGTTCAAGAAGAAAAGGTGCCACTAGTTAAAATAGATCAGTACCGCCCATGTCTAGAAATTAATTTAAATTTTAGTAAAGTTTGCAGATCTAGAGAGGACAAAATTGTAGATAATAAATTAAATTTTAAGAAGGATACTTTTGAATTAATGTATAAGATGATGGAGGACAGTTGTTGGGACACTATCACCCAGGAAATTGAAGTGAATAAGGCTATTGAAAAGTTTAATGAAATTATAAGTAATATTTTCCAGTTAACTGTTTATATAGAACTCATAATTGTAGACCTTATCCTGTTTGGTACTCGGCTGACATTAAAAAACTTATTAAGGAAAAAGAGGATTACAAAAAACTCAAAAATATTTCAGAATATTATAATCAGAAATTTATACAAATTAGAAAAGAACTCAAGTCAAATTTAAAATCCAGAAATTATTTGGCAAAAATTGAAAATGACAGTTTCGCGGATTTTAATGTAGATATTCTGGAATTTTATAAATAGTAAACAAAAAAACAGCAAAACTAAAATATCTACATTTACTCTAAGTAGAAAATCAGTACCTGAAAAAAATGTAGTAGCTGAAAAATTTTCGGAATTTTTTTCCTCTGTACACAATTCCGAAAAATCTATTTATAATTTAAATAATTATATAAATAATTGTGCCAATTTTGATTTGTGTTTATTATCTGAAATAAATAAAAATGATTTTAACAAAGCCATAAAAAAGTTAAAGCCAAAAAAGGCAGCAGGAATTGATAATATTTCACCATATATCTTAAAAGGATATAGTCACTTGTTAAAAATACCATTGTTACATATTTATAATTTAATTGTTAAAAGTTTTATATTCGCTTCACAATGGAAAATATTTTATTATACACCTATTCATAAAACAGGGAAAACATCAGAAATTGAAAACTATAGAGGAATTGCTCTGTCTCAAAACTTTTCGAACAAATTATTTATAACAAATTACTATATCATATACAAAACATCATAGTGGATAAACAGCACGGTTTCGTTCGAGGTAGATCAATTAGTAGTAATTTACAGCTCCTGTGCTGTTTTTCATTTTCGAACTGTCTGTATACCAGATTAATTCGTTTTGTTTTTCCCTATTTTCCCGGCTTTTGGCCTTTTCTGGTATTTGAATATCGAAAGGTTTCCTGAAGTCGTGAATAATGGGCGTTTTATCAGATGGCATTCTTAGTACCAGATTTTATTTTAATTTCTCTAATATCATTATGTGGTGTCCTTTTCTCGAAAGCTCCCATCCAAATCCATTAGTAAACAGACTGTATGCCGCCACCATAGACTTCTTCTCCACCATAAAGTGTAGTGGAGGTAGACCTAGCAGTGGCTCCATTGCTGCTGTGGGCGTAGTTCTAAATGCCCCTGTTATTATTAGACAGGCTAGTTTTGTACCTTGTTTAATTTTCTGTTAGCTGTCATGCTTTTGGTCCTGCGCCACCATATGACTGATGAGTAAGTTATAACAGGTACTACAACCATAGTGTAAAGCCAGTGCATCATACTTGGTTTAAGCCCCCATATGTTCCATACCATCCGTCTACAGGCCCATAATATTCTTACAGCTTTTTCTGTTGTTTTTTCTATATGGATGCAGAAGCTAAGCTTGTCATTAAGAGTGATTCCAAGTAGGGCGACAAGAGGGGGGGGCAGCCGGGACCAATTCCTGGGGCCCGGGCTCAAATGGGGGCCCGGCAGCAGTATAAGGGTGGCCCGGCAACTGTGGCGAGAATTTTTTTGTTACTTTCAGAAGTTCGACACAACAGGGAGAAGTTCTTGCTTGAAGACCTTTTTTTTTATTTTTTATAAAATTGTCGTGGGGCCCGATCTGGAGAATTGTCCTGCGGCCCGACCTGGCTCTCGGCGGTCCTGATTCCAAGATATTTAACCTCTTTTGCAATTTTTAGATGTTGTCCCCACATATAATGCTACTTCATTCCTTGAAGACGATATTAGCGAGTATTCTGTGATTTTGCAAGTATGTTAATATTTTGGTTACTAAATGAAATCAGCTACTGTTAATTAATAGTAATTAATAACATTAATAACTGCAAATTCAGCATTAGATCTTACCGTCCAGCAATCTATCATGTTTGACAATGTTTCCGACCCAGTATCGGTTGCAAAATCTACTTATTTCGATTCATTCGGTACGTTATCTTACCACGAAGTTTAAAAAATTTTAGAATGTTTAATTTTTCACCTGATCTTTTGAGATTATTCATAGGAAAATTCGTCTTATACAAGTACATTATTCTGCTCGACTCATACCGGTTTGAACTTGGCAGCCAAAAGCTAGCGGCCAATTTCCCGAAGATCTCCGAAAGATCAGTAGCGGTAGCAGTAAAAATTGTTAAAACTTTAAAAATCGATACAAGTAAATAATAATACAAACAATTGGTGACAAGTCTTATTTCCTTTAGAGGGGTATAAGTTGGTAGAAAGGGGTACCAGCCCTTTTTGAAATATTGGCTACAGAAGGGAGAAAGTTAACACTTTAAAAATAGGTATAAAACTAGATAATAATATTAGAAACCATTTGAGACTAGTCTGATTTCCATACGAGGGATTTAAGTTGGTTCAATGGGGGTAGCAGCCATTTTTTAAACATTGGAAAAAGCTATTTGGTACAGAAGGGAAAAAGTTAACACTTTAAAAATCGGTATACAACTAGATAATAATATTAGAAACATTATAAACCTGACTTATTTTTTTGTTACTTAACCTATTGTACTACTACTATACACATGTGGGATGACACATAGACGGAACCCAGTTGGTAAAGATTATTTCACAGGAATATTAGTATTTAAGTACATATCTGGAATAATTTTAAAAGTGTCTCATTTAAAAACAATAATTTTTTCATTGTAATTGTAGTGTAATATTGTCTTAGATCTTGCACTACCTAGAAATTTAAGAGAATTCCTAATTCTTTTTTAAACACAATACTTATTGGGCAGTATTAGAAGACAATATAATCCCACTCATTTTCAACATAACTAACAACTTAAAATAAAATTAATTTCTTTTGACCGTATATCTACACTCTTTTTCAGATTGTTCTTCTCAGTTTACTTCTAGCCACAGTTAGCGCAGAAGATGCCACAGCGGCAATACCAGTTAATAAGCCGCCTCAGTACCCGATCAATGAAAACCAACTTTCAAATATACAAATTACAGTAACGGCAATCCCATCGGCACCAGCTCCTGCTCCGGCAGTCAAATACACTTCAGCACCAACATTTGTCCAACAACAAGACCAAGTAATCCAGTACGCAGCTATATTTCCAGCGCCAAATCAGTTCGCTGAAACTCAGCCTCAGTTAGCTGCACCTTTACACTTTGGTCCTTTCCGTTTACAGCTATCTGAAGCTCCGGTTCAATACTCAACACTTCCTACACGAAATCAGTTTCCAATACCTATAGTCCAGTTTAACCAAGGAGCTTCACCAGTACAAATAACTGCTAAAGTGGCACCATTACCTCAATTCCAATATGGGTCCAAACAACTACAAATGGCAACCCAGGAAGTAGCGCCAATTCAATTTAAAGAAGCAGCAAACCCATTTCAAATAATTGTTAAAGAATCAGGTAATAGCGCTCCAGTTGAAGCTGCACCAGTACCTGTTCAATACGCTGCAGCGCAACCCGTTTTATACAGATCCTCACTGCCTATTCAGTACGCACACGCACTGCCAGTTCAGTACGCACAGGCGCAGCCTGTTCAGCACTCACACGCGCAGCCTCTTGAATACCCACACGAGCAACCTGTTCAGCACGAAAAGACACAGCATCTTCAGTACCCTACTGCGCAGCCTGATCATTATGCTCCCTCGCAGCCTATTGAGTACGCTCCCACACAACATATTACAGGTGCTCCAACAAAGCCTGTTCAGTATATTCCCGCACAACCCAGTCAGTACGATTCGGTACAGCCTGTTCAGTTCGCTCCTGTGCAACCAGTAGCTTACAGTCCTGTACTTAAAAAGGTTAAGAAAATGGATGACTACGATTCTAACCCCGAATACGAATATGGTTATGATATAGAGGACACTCAAACTGGAGACAGTAAAAGTCAGAGTGAGCAGAGGCAAGGCAATTTTGTACGAGGAAGTTATTCTGTGGTGGATCCTGATGGACATAGGCGCACTGTGGAGTACACTGCAGATCCTGTGCATGGTTTTAGCGCTGTTGTTCGCAGAGAGCCGATAAATGCTAAAGTGAAGAAAGTCGCTGTACCTGTTTCGAAAGTTTCTGTTTCTGGAGCTTATGCATAATACGTGGTGTTATGTAGATAAGCGGTGACTGTTTATGTTGAATTTAATTTTAGTAGTGAACTAAAAATAATTAAATAAAAATGTGATATTTTAAACGTATATTTAGTGATATGACCAATAAATTAATTGTTTTATAATAAATTGTTTAATTTTATGCTGGTATACCTTCGTTTATTTATCAAATTTAAACTAATCAAAAAATCATCTTATATTTTCTGTGGAATACCTAATTTCTGCAGAAACTGAAAGTTGGATTAAAAATAGTTTGAGAAATGTTCTTTTTAGATTTTCTGTTTTATTGAATAAGGAACTGTAATTTTCATTTTTTTATGTACGATCGGGCGATAAAGTCCAGATTATAAATACGTTTAGTGCCTCTTTATCGCCCGGCGGGGGGGGGTAAAGTAAATTTCTTTTATAATAACCCGCTCACAAAAGGCGAAAAAGAGAAAATAGTAGTTATTTATTAATAAACAATTATTAAAACGGCCTTACATAAAATTTTATACAGAGCGTCCCATTACAGCGTAATTGTTCAATATTTCAAATTGTGTTATAGACAAGCAAAAAAGTTTTAAATAAAAATTATATGGATTTGAAAAATACATGTTTTAAACATATTGGTGGATATACAGGGTGTTGCGTTTTTGCCTAGCAAATAAAAATGTATGTTTTATAAATAGAACACCGTGTATTTTATTTTATTTTTAGGATGTTTTGGTAATACTATATTTAACCTTAGAAAGTTTTAAAATATTATTACATTGTTGCCAAGCAATTAATTTTTTTTAAATTATAGAACGATGATTATCATAATTTAGGTAGGTTTACATTGATTTCAAAATTGTTTAATGCACAGACTTTACGAATAGTGATGATAGAACTTGTTTATTTGATATATGTCTTAAATATGGCTAATTTTAAGTTTAATTTACTCAATTTTTTAAATGCAGTACCCTGTATATTATTTAAGCATAAAATTCCTTATAAATTTGCCTATAAAACGATACCAATGTTAGCCAATAACACATATACAGGGTGTCCCATCAGTGCGTAATTAATCGATTATTATTAGAAATACGAAGAAATTTTTAATATAAAAGTTGTATGACCATATTTAACAATTATTCTTAAATATACAGGGTAGTCCATAAATGAGATGTCGACCAAATCTACACTTTTTTAAAGCAAAACATCCTGCAGGTAGTCATACAAATTTGATAGTTTTCACATCGTCAAACAATTTTAATTGACTTCACTCATTTGCTATGTGGTATATAGGGTATGTTAAAACGTGAGGTTACAATTTTTTCAATTTTCTAAATGTATTAATTAATTGGTGGTATAACATATAGAGTATTCTATTTGAAAAATTTAAAAATCGTTATCCCGCATTTAGACACACCCTATATTCAAGATAGCAATTGTATGAAATCTATTAAAATTGTTTGACGATGTAAAAACAATCAAATAATCAAATATGTATAACTACCTACAGGGTGTTTTGCTTTAAAAATGTATAAGTTTGGTCAGCTCCTCGTTCATGAATCACCCTGTTTATTTAAGAAAATTTATTAAACATGGTCATATTTTTTTACATTATTTTTTTTTTTTCGTATTTCCAATAATAAAACAGCTATCGATCAATTACGCAATTTTAGGGTTAAATACAATATACCAAACCATCCTAAAAATAAAATAAAATACAGGGTGTTCTATTTAAAAAAGATAAATTATTATTTGCTAGGCAGAAAGGCAACACCCTGTATATCCAAAAATATTTTTATGTGACTTTCAAATCCATATAAGTTTTATTTAAAACTTTTTACGTTTTTATAAAACAAATTGAAATATTGAACAATTACGCACTAATGAGATTTGTTATTAAATATTAATAAAATTTTGTATATATTTCGGGCGTAAACAACGTTTATGGACCTTACGTGTTAATAGCCCTCGCCCAGCGGCTCGTGCTCTTACTTACACGTTGCGGTCCATAAACGCCTGTTTTACGCCTGTTTTACCCCTTCTTACGCCTGTTTTACCCCTTTTTACGCCTGTTTTTACGCTTGTTTTACGCCTGTTTTATGCCCTTAATAGATACATAAGTATTAAATACTGTTGCTAATTTTTTTAAATAGATCGTTTTTTCTGATTACTTTTTACAAGATGGGCTATGATTTTGATATATTTGGACAAACACATTATAACTTTATAGGTCCAAAATTATGTGTGTTAGTGTTAGTATATTCGACCTACATTGCTCTACCATAGAGGACTTCCGTTAATTGATAAATTTTAATATAGGAAACAGAACCCTTTAAGAGGTTAGTTACCGAGATACAGGGTGTTGATAGTTTTAAATCAAAATTTAAAATTTGCATAAAACAAAATATATAAATATTTTTGTCTCTGATCTATCAAGATTTTGTCAAATACACGAACTATTCAAAATTTGACACTAGATTAGAATTTAGAAATATTGAGTTGTTACAAATTAACTAAGTACACTGAGACTTTTGTTTAGAAGCACATTTCTGCAACACTGTTCATTTTTAACTCCATAAGAGATTATTACTTTTTTAACTAAAAATAAACAGAATTGAAAAAAAAAATAAAATAAAAAAATATTTGTTACACGGGCGTAAAAAAAATAAGGGAAAAATTGTTACTAACTTTGTTAAAATTCTCGAGGAAAATTTACATTACAAACTAAAAGACCTGCGGGGCAACGGTAGTTTAGTAGGTATAAAAATTACAACTTAAGGGTGGAGCCTAAATACTACAAAATTACTTCCGAGACTAAACAAAATCCACATTCATTCATAATTTTAACAATTGCATGTAGATACGAGGGATACGTATTCCAAACTCGAACGCGAAGTTGGAACATATAGGAACCGAAAAATCAACACGGCTACCGACCTTCATCATTTCTTGAGTGAGTCAGAGTTACCTAAATTAGGGGAACCAGAATCGTATTTGTTTTTCTCGGTGCATTGCGAGATATTGTTATAACGCAGTTCGATTTTTTAGAGGGTTTTACATTATTTTTATATTTTAATTTAGTGAATAGACTTAGTTAGATTAAATTACATTTAGGAGTAAAGAGGTGTGAAATATAAATACAAATAACGGAAAAATAGACGATTGGTTCGAATAACGTAATAGGATCAATTAATACAGGGTATTTATTAATTGAGTGCCGATACTTAAGGGTGTGAATCCTTGGGTGTTAAAGTTTTAAGAAAAAAATAACTATTTTATCATAAGTTTATTATCACTATAGATATTTTTATGAAATTTTGCCCCAAAAAAAAGTGTTTCCACTCATGGTGGGTTCCTACCAAATTTCAACAAAATATCAAAAGCAGTTTCAATAAACTGGTTTTTATTTTCTTACGCGAAAAGGGTGCGTCGTACGAAAGTACGTCTATAAACCAAATTTGCTCCAAAATAAATAAGGATTTTAAAGATAATTTTGGTTTTTGGAAAAAGCAGTGGCGTATTATATTTTTGTTCAAAAATGTTCAGTTCAAACCTGGTACGGACGTCACTGGTAAAAAGTAAAAAGTCTTTTACGACAAAAAGGCGGGATTGAAAGTGAAAGTTTAGTCTGTAATATACTATATTTATATATCTAATTTTTAATATTACACTGAATGTGACATGGCTTTTTTGTTTGCCTTTTTTGGATTAACAAAATATTATTTTAATGATTTAAAATAAACTGCCAGTAATAATAATTATCTGTACTTAAACATATACAAAGTGAAATCATAAAACGACGCATCAAGAAAGCACCAAATTATAAAAATTTTAATTTACGTAACAAGTATTAAAAGTAATTTTAAAAAACCGACTTTAAAATTGTGCAGATGCCATCATCACATCTTAACTAAATTTATATGGGACCACCCCTGAGGTACTCCCTTACTAACGAAAAGAATTATAGAAATCGGACAAGGTGGTAAAGAATTATCGCTAAACATACATAAAAAAAAAAAGTTTGAGGATTTTCTCATGGACCCAATTATTAGATTTTGACCAAATTTATATGAGACCATCCCGGAAGTACCCCCTTTCCAGCAAAAAAGAATCATTTAAATCGGACTGTGTTAAAGAATTATCGCTGAACATACATAAAAAATATACAGACGAATTGAGAACCTCCCCCTTTTTGAATTAAGTTAAAAGGTTAAATAATAATCTATATTAATTGTATTGACTAAAAAACTACTATGTAGAGTTATATATATCTTCTTAAATTAATCTTATATGTAAAAACGTGGGTTCGGTTCCTAGAAGAGTACCTAGTTCACTGTGCAGCCAAATTTATATTTATAATACAGAATTTTTTGAATAAATAAAGTTTACGGTTTAATTAAACACAAAGTTTTATCAGAAATAACATTTTCTGAAAAAAGTAACATATAGAAAGCAGACTTAGAAAAATAAATAAAATTTTTATATAATCACATAAATGTGATTTATCTTTTAGAATATTGTATTGCTGTAAATAAAAATATCATATCTTCACTTATATCAATTAACTCACCTTTGGAAACAATTTTTGTAAAACTTAAACTACACGGAACCACAGTCATTATTAATTCAACTTATATTCCACCGGGCGCAAATGCTAAAGTCTACAGGCAATATCTAGATTTATTTGACAATTTAGATCCCTTAATCACTCAAACCACACACATGGTACTTATTGGTGATTACAATATACCATGCATAAATGGCACATCTTTTCAATTTTCTAATAAAAATGATATAATAGTAACAATGTCTGTATTAATGGCCACTTACAGTCTACAGTCTTTCAACAATTGTCTCAATGAGGATCAAAAAACTCTAGATCTGGTGCTTGGTAATTTGAATTTGAATATAAAGGAGAATAAAGAACCTTTAGTTCCCATAGATAATAAACATCCCTTTCTGATAATTAAGACGGAAGTAAAAAAAAGTAATCAACTCACATACACAAATAATAATCTTCAAAGCAGATATAATTTTACAAAAGCTGATTTTAGATTACTATGCGAACTACTAAGGGATTTTAATTGGTCCAAAATTGGACACATTGAAAAGGTTGATGATTCTGT